AGGTTCATTATTTCTTTCATTTTATATTCACACGTATGGAGCACAAATGGTGTGCTGTACAAGAACATGGCACACTTTTCAAAAGTCATTTTATCTTTCGGATTTCGGTGGCTTCTTCCCAAATTTACGGATGACACTGTTGTCACCCTTATAGCAATTCCATTTACTGCTGTGTCTCTCATAAAATGAAAAAAGAAAACCACTGAGAAACTCTTACCTCTGCTTCTACTATGAGCTTTGGCAGTTAGGCCTATGAAAGCCACAGCACACACAATTGAAAAGAGAAGAGATATTAAATATAGTTTAGACTTACTCCTTGACTTGGTAGAGGTCTACTGTGCTTTTCTTGGCCCTTAATTTCTTTGTGTTTTTGTAAGGAGGCGGCCTTGGACCACGTGTAAACCCTATTCTGGATGCGGATTCTATCTATAGTAGAATTCAGATGCTTGTTGCTCCTACAATGAAAAACTTTTTGCATGCAAAAGCAACACATACCAGTTCTTTTTTTATAGTCATCGTAATGTGAAGAGGAGAGGAGAGACAGGAAAATTACTACTAGGCAGTCATTGGTTTATACAGGCACACCTCCGAGACATTGGGGGTTCAGTCCCCAGCCACCAACATCATGCAATAAAGTCAACATCATGAAAAAGCAAGTCTTAATCCTTTTGGTTTCCCAGTGCATATAAAACTTATACCTGCACTGTGCTATAGTCTATTGTATTATTGCAATAGTATTATGTCTGAAAAACAATGTGCATGCCACAACTAAAACCATTTTATTGATAAATTTAAAAATCAATCACCTATCACCTGATAGGTGATAACTGTCACCTGAGCCTGCCAGAAAATGGCACCGATAGACTTGCTTGATGTAGGGTCGCTGCAAACCTTCAATTCATATAAGCCACAATGTTGGCGAAACGTAACAAAGCAAAACACAATAAAACAAGATATGCCTGTACCTTATTTACTCTTCCTAAAAAATTACTACCCTGCTTTAACGATCAAGAAAAGTTGTTAAGTCAAAATGATTACCAAAGTTTTTAAAATCTACCACAACTTAGTGGCTGATCTGGAAGTCACACCTGGGTCTGTGACTTTGAATCCCATATTCTAACCCCAAACACTGGCCTTAGGGGTCTCTGAATATGAGAGGCACGGTGGTAAGGGCGCCTTGCCTAGAAAGTGAAGCTTTTCCATACAAGGGGTGGGAGACATAGTTGTTTCTGGAGATCTGGGGGCCAGGCAGCCCCTCCCTTGTCACCAGGGTTCTCTGTTAAAGGTGGCCAGGCTTTCTGAGAGGCTGTGGCGCAGAGAACCTTTGCTGATGGGGTGACAACTTGAAAACTGCCACAAACCAAGACTTGTGCCTCTTTGTCTATTTTAAACACTGTTTAGCTTTCAGATCATTGCCAATATCGGGACAACAAATGGCTGCTGTCTATGTGCTTGAAAGAATGCAAGAATGATCGTACTTCAAGAAGCAAGTTGGAGCCTTCTCTATATTCTCATATAGTTTATTTAGCCTATTTTATTATAATAAAGATTATTGATGGCAGATTATAACTACTAGGAAACTGTCACTAAATGTGGCACTGGCTTTCAAAACTGGTCACAAAGCTGTATGTGCCATGAGAAATTAACTGAAAATACCTCTTACATTTCAGAAAATATAAGTCAGGGAATAAAATAATTAACAAAAGGATTTACACATAGAAAATAATCTTATTTTTTATGTCATCTGCAGTAAAATCTCAAGGAGCTGTGAAGTAACACTGAGGGCCTGCATTTCTTTCAAACCGAAAACCACAGTTGATCTAAGATATTGGTCACCGCACGCATTTCGCCTGGGGACTCCCTAAACAAATGGCAGAGTTAGGCTTATTGTATTCCTCAAATATCTCAATTTTTCACTAACTTATTTACATTTTATCTTAGTAAGTTTCATCCTCACTAACTGACAAAATCAGCTCCTGCCCTTTGTCACTCAGTTCACGTTGTAAGTGTGTTTCTAACAACTGTGATGGCAAAAGCAACTTCGATACTGCATGAAGCTTTGTGTACAAAGTTTATGTTGGAAAACGGTACCTCATTCTCAGAAAACTGACTCGCACCCCAGCTTCTCAGGAGGGTCTTTATTTCTAAGGGTGCCGTACAGAGAAAGATCTGTTCAACTGCTTGATTTGCTGATGCTCCTTCAAGAGTTGAAATGTGTCTTGTAATGCACTTGATCTTGCATTTGCTTATTTATCAAAGTTCGTTATAGTTTGAATACATATATCCCCCTAGCTTCAATATCCTGTAAAAATCACAGATAATAGAACATTTCAAAGTATTCTTTGCTCTCCCAATTTGGTTTTATGATTGTACTATGGCTCTTAGGTTTGGGAAGGGGGTCTGTTTTATGGTTTATTCCTCTGATAAAAAAATCAATCTTCAGAGGGAAAGGGGGTGGGGAATGATGGGGAAAAGGAGGGGAAGGGTCGTCAAGGAACATGTATAAAGGACCCACGGACAAAGACCTTGGGGCAGAGGGGAGGGCTGAGTGTGGGGCATTGGGATGGGTAGGGCAGGAGAGAGTAATGGGGGGAAGTGGGGACAACTTCAATTGAACAACAATAAAAACTTAAATCTTCTACCACTTTGGATTAAAGTGTTTTTTTCAGCTAAACTTGCCCATGCAGTGAAACAAGCTTTTTTATTGCACATCAAAAGGAACCATTATGAGCAAGTAAAACTCATTCTATTCACCACATTTCAGGGGCTTATATTTTTTGAAAAGCTGTAAGCATATGCTTTCTTTATCTACATATAATACTGTAATAAAACAGCAGCTGATATAATTATGTATTATATCACTTTAAGAATTTCAAAGGCTTGAAGTGCAACATTTTCAAAAGACATTTATTTAGTCCCTGCTAATTACTGGGGACACTGTACTAAACATTTTATGCGTTAACAGATTAATCTCTTTGTCTATTATTACATAGTTAATTGTAGTACCTTGAAGAGGATTAGAACGCAGGTCTCTGGCATTCCAGTGTGTCTGAAATTCCATAAATCATTCACTTGATTCTTTTAAAATAGTCCAGAAATTTTCTTCAATCTTAGTCTTACATCTCTGTATTTTACAAAAAAAAAAAAAAAAAAAAAAAAAGACATGCAAAGACAATCAAAAGAATATCCTCCCTGGAAATGGTATGCACTGTTGTGCTTTGCTGATTTCCCTTAAACAGATTTTATGTGGCTCTATAATTGCTTCTGGAATCAGACCATTTTTATGCATGAGCCCAGAGCAGATTACAAAAGACAATCCATTCCGCTGGAGCTTTTTCGAAGTATAATCATGCAACATTTATTCTGTTTTTTTAGTATATGGCTAATGATTGCCTAGTAAGTGTATGTCAACAATGTAAAGTCCAAATGGGGGAAGGGGGTGGTACAAAAAACAGCTCAGATGATCCCCTTTAAATTTTTAGAATCCTGGCAAAGAGGGACAGCGTGACACTCGATGATGGCTTTGCAGATACTGCACAGACCTTCCAGCAAGCACTGTCTTGAGATTGTAAAACATTAACCAGCCCAAGCTGCACTATTGTGTTTAAAGCAGTGACAGAGACACTTTGACAATTCCCAAGTGACCGTGGGTTTGCCTTTATGTATAGGTCCAATTTTTTATCATTAATTTGCTCTGTTCTACTTTGTCTTCTGATTTCTCCCGATGGCCACAAGTATGACCCAAAGGGGCATGCTTATCCAAAGACAACTTTTGCTTTCACTAGTCCAGGTTTTCTTCCTTTTTTTTTATTGTTTTAACTTTTTGTCTAGAACTCAAGTGATTTTCAAAATGTGTCACAAACCATCCGGGAAGCATGAAATCGATTTAGGGGGTACAGTGAACATTTTCAAATGCAACAGAACAGACTAAAAATATTAGCAAGCATTGCATTGAAGTAAGAGTATTTTTAAAACTTTTGTGTCAAAAATCCTGATGTGGCCCTGGCTGGCATAGCTCAGTGGATCGAGTGCGGGCCTGCGAACCACACGATTGCCGTTTGATTCCCAGTCAGGGCACATGCCTGAGTTGCAGGCCAGTTCCCAGCTGGGGATGCATGAGAGGCAACCATACATTGATATTTCTCTCCCTCTCTCCTTCCTTTCCCTTCTAAACATAAATAAATAAAACATTTTTTAAAAAATGTCCTCGGGTCAGGATTAAAAAAAAATCCTAATGTGTATGTTTGTGTGGAAAAGTAATACATGAGTTTCCAGAATGCTTACCAATCAAGAAGGTGACAGTCTCTGCCATACTTATGTGATTGGAGTTCCTCTGTTACTGTAAATAATCTGAAAACAGTGATGTAATCTCTTTTCCCAGTTCGGTCTGTGGGTTTGTGTCTGGTTATCATTCTTTATTTTGGGACAAAATAGTAGCAAATGAATGGGTACATGATCACCTGCCCACTTTCAATTAATGGGAAATGTTAGTGTCTTAACTCACCCTTTTGTAGAAATAACTCTGTATCTGCTCCACTCTGGTGTGGGAGCAGTTATGAAAAAGGTCACATACTATTTCCATTTAGGTTTCGGCTTGGTTTTTGTACCTTTGTTTGAGATAATTATTTTCAACTAATTTTTGGTATTTAGTGTTTGACAAACACAATAGATATGCCTATGAAATCAGCTACTACTTTATTTTCTCAGGTTAAGAGACTGACTCAGAAGAATTGCTGAGAAAAAAGAAATTACTTAGAATCTAAAATTTTGAATGGGTGGTATATTTTGTTTAATCTGTGTCAATGTAATAGTATAAACTTAATGAAAACTAAATATAATCTGATATTCAGTTATATCTATTCATGTATTTAAAATAAACTTCTGACTAGAGTACATTGGAACTCATAACAAATTATAACATATTTTATATTACTAGGATCATATTGCTTGAGTGAGCATATCTATTTATCATTCATCTTTTTACTTTCTTGTACTTTCAGCTAAAATTGACCAAGAGGCAGAGGAGAACTCACTAACAGAGACTCATAAATGGTGAGAAATTAAGTACTTTTTCTTTAACATTTCTTTTCAGAATAAGATCATAAAGTACTTAATATGCTTTATCTCAAGGAACCAATCATTAACTCAATTTTTATTCTCAAGCATAGAAGAAAAAGAAACTACTATAATGGACTTCAATTTCACATTGAGTTTCTGAATTTGATTTTTATGCATCTCAATGTTGCTAGTCCTGTTAAGTATCGAAGTATTGTGAATAGTTTATCACCTTCACTTTTGAAGAGGATTTAGGACTGGGAAGTACAAGAAAAAGGTGACAGCGGGAATATGTTTTAAGAAAAACAGGGGAAGAGTTTGGTTATAGGAAACAGTTGCATTTCCACATTCAAAAGTAGAGCCCAGGTAGGAAGCTGTGGGCTTCGCTTGTCTCCACCTCAGCTTTTAGAAGGAGGTTTGCCATCACAAGGAAGTGCAGAAAAGTATCTTGAGAATCGCCCTGCTTCTCTCTCTGTTTTCTTCTCTTTTTTTTCTCTTTGTATCAGTTAGGGCTCACCAGAAAACAGAACCAGTGGGATGTATATGCATGTATACGTGTGTGCATGTTGGCGTGTGTGTACATGCAGGGGATTATGGTTGGAGTGGATGTTACAATCTTCAGTCTGAAGGCATTATGGAGACAGAACTCTTTCCTACTGGGGGAAGCACAATTTCTTTTCTTATGGCCCTCAACTGATTGGATGGGCCCATCAACATTATGGAGGATAATCTGCTTTTCTCAAAGCCTACTGATACGCACATTAATCACATCTAAAAAATACCTTCACAACAACATCTAAACTGTGTTTGACCCAGAGCTAGTTACCATGCCTAGCCAAGATTAACCCTCACACTCTAAACAGATATGCTTACTCTCTAAACAGTTATGGTTACTCTTGAGGGAATCTTTAGATTAAAGAAATTCTTTTCCGTTACTTATTAGGCCAGATCCTGTATAGCCTATGAACAGATACCACATAGAGTGTAGTGGTTGATTTGCTATACAAATGTGCTTGGCAAATTGGTAAAAACATGAATCTGTTTCTATGAAAAGCAAAAACTGAGCTTAAGACCTTAAATTATAGCAATAGTTGCAGGATTAGTTGTTTACTAATAACAAAATTATTAGTAAAAGAGCCATATTTCACAATAAAACAGTGACCTCTGAAATTCAAACATAGAAATAAGGATAATGGGCCATAAGACACATCCCCCAGAGACATGGGTCTCTGTGCCATCTTTGCAGCCGCCCCGCACAACGGGCACGGCACAGTCAGCAGGAGCGTGGCGGGGCTGGGGGGCGCCGTGTGGTCCACCACCTTGCCAGTCGGAGCTGGCCTCGTGTGATAACTCTGTGATTTCGGAGCAGTACCATAACCCCAGGATAACTTTGTAGGTTAGAACTAAGTACTTAGTAAGTGATCAGTAGGTGTTAATTGCTGTATTATTTTTACTTTAGCATCATAACCAGAAATTACAAAATGTTTGGTGGTACAAGTAGAAACCAGTGTCTGATTGTGGACTCTGGCTGTGTATTTATTTGTTCATTTCAAGTTCTTTGCTGTCTATGTGGAATGTGGTACTGGACAGTCTGTGGAGCACAGATTTGGGTATCCGCGCTGTATTTCTGCACCTGCTCCAAACTGCTGGCATTGTTGCTCCAGGGAGTCCCCATGACTTTTAAATCTGTGTCCTGATATCTGTGTGCAATAAGAGAAGCGATGCCCGCATTGTTAGTGAGTAGAGATAAGTTCCCAACAGTTAACTTAAATGCAAAGTATATGTGTAGAAACCCCCACATCATTTAGGTTTTTTAGAATCCACTTCCATTGTACTTACCAAAATACTTGAACTTGGGGGACCAACTTCCAGAATGAACTCACTTCCCAAGAAACAACCATTTAACTGGAGAAAATGGTATATAACACTCATTTAACATTTCTAGAAAATGTTCTAAGGGCTTTGGCAAATGGAGAATCATTCATTCAACAAAACCTACTAAATCTTAGAAAGAACCACAAGGGTCTGGGGCATGGGAAGCCCAGCCCATCCTTTCCAGCACCTTTCTTTACGGGAACAACTCTACCAGCTCCCGTCCAAGCAAGTCACCTTCTCCTGAGCTCCCAGTCTCAGGTCATCATTCCTTCCAGAGCCAGCAGGCTGCCAGCTTCGGTTGTCCCTCCAACTGCAGCTTATTTAGAAGTTCTATTCCAGACCAATGATGTAGAGTCGATGGCTTCCTTCCCCAACCCAGCTCCCTCTTGCAGGGTGGAACTCCGCTCCAGGTGTGGCAGACCAAGAATATTGGACCCCAGAGTTTGTGTCCCAATAGACCATTAGGGGCACATTCTCTATCAGGAAGGGTAAGCCAAGGAGACTGGGCTCTGCCCTCCTCAGCTCCTGCTTCTGAAGCAGGTGTCTCAGTCTTGGAGAGGCGGGCCACTTGGCCACCTCCGGCTTTAGCTTTAAGCGCTGAGCACAGCAATTCTGCCCAGAGGTCTGCAGCTCCCTCTGAAGGGACTTTGGGTTTATTTAGAACAGAGGAGCAGTCCTTGCCAAAAGGCTTTGTGGACAGCAATGGCAGGCTCGGTGAAGAGAAATTAAGAGGGTACTGTCAGCTCCAGGATACAAACAGCAAAAGCAAAATGGTCCAACGGGAGTTTAACAGAGACAACTAGGGAAGGAGAAAGCCAAGAAGGGTCCTCCTGGGGTGACAGTGCACATGGGTGCTGGGAAGGCCATGCATCAGTGAACTATGCTGCTGCAGTCAGGAGCAATCAGACCTGCATGGAGCGGATTTGGAAACATTCCCCAAGCTGCATGCAGATCCATCAACGAACGGCCTAGACCTCCTGGGTTCTGGGAGCTTCTCAAAACCTTGCCCCAGAGGTTTTGAGGCAGCTCAGTATTCTGTGTGCTCACAGGGTTACTACGAAGGAGGCCGCTGGTGTGGCGGGCAGGGCCCTGCGAATTCCAGTCCGGAGTTCAGTGGGGTGCACCACATGGCATGCCTGGGCCTCCGTGTTGGTGACTAGAATATGACCCTGTGCTTCCTCCCATCTTCCAAAGCTATGGGAATATCATACTTTGTTCTCTGCCATTGGCAAAACTTCCTCAAGTGCGCAGCTAGTTGAGGCCTTATGGAAAAGCATACTCATGGGAAAATGTTTAGGAAACTGCACAAATTCATGTTTTCAGCTTTCTTTAAAGAGGAATAACAACTTTGTCTTTATGATCGAGTAATTTTTTTAAAGCCTTGGTCCATTTCTTAGTCCGTTTAAAATGGGTAAGTGTCACCTTGGCCAGTTGTTTGGAGCATTGTCCTGTGCACTGGAAGGTCGGGGGTTCGATCCCCAGTCAAAGCGTGTACAGGAAGCAATGATCGATGTCTGTCTCTCTTTCATCAGGAAACATTTCCTTGGGTAAAGGTTAAAATGAACTTTTATCAAAAATTTATTAGAACTTTTTAAAAAAAAGAATTCATTTCTATAGTAGAATATTGTGTTTTTCAGGTTATTTTGTGATTTCCTAACTATAAAACATATTTAAAAAAACAATGGAATATATATATATATATATATATATATATATATAATTTAAATGCATTTTAACCAAATATGTATTTTAATCAAGTCATATCTTTTTCCATATTCTACTTGTTAGCATAATAGTTTTATGTGCTGATTTTGTCTGTTTATTCACACATTTTTACCATTAATCTGAGAAGTGGGACTTCGAGCTTGTTTTGCCTAACAAAAAGTTACAGCTTTGGATAACTATGAGCTCTTTCATTTTCTGAGAAGGAAGGTGACTGAGCAGATGAGTCCTAAACCATAGCCAAAGCCCAAACCCAAACTGGAGGGCCGTATTCTCATCTGCAGATGACCTCACTGGGCAAGCCAGCCTACCATGTTGGAGCACAGCGCAGATTTCAGCAGGTCTGGTTCAGGCTGGCTGCGCCCCTGCTGTGTGTGTTTACTTCAGCCTCTGCTTTTATTTGATGTTTAATTAGCATGCATGCTTTCTTCAGTTGTGGAAAAGTATCATCAGACCAGATAGGATTGTTTTCATTTTCCCACAGACTTGCTCAGAGTCTGTGTCAGCTCATAGGCAGAGAGTGCAGAAATGTTGGGTTTGTCTAATCAGTGGTCATTTCTGTATATTCACATTTAAAGAATAATAAGGATGGAAGTTAAAAAGTTGACTTCTGACACCCAGAGGTTCTTATTTATAAATTGTGGCTGCCTTCACATTTTTCTTAGAATTTTGTCTGTTTCTTTCTTTAAATTCCACGGGTAAAACCCACATTTTATGGTGCAACTGACTTTTGAGATAGAAAAAGAACAGATTTAATTTTGGCGTGAGTAAAGCTGATAAAATGACTAAATGTAAATTCTGAATGATCTAACATAGTAGTTTTCATATAAGTATCTTTGTCAGTTAATGTAGGTGATGTTATAGATAAAGGAAGTCCGGCTTACAAAGGTATAATAACTTGATACATTTTCTGTGAGTAATGAAAAGCAACTTTTTAGTATCACTTCTATTATTTTAAAAGAACTTTAATTTTTCTAGAAAGTTCGTGGATTTTCCTACAGATGAAAACATTGGTTCAAACCTGTTCGTGTATTTCAACAAGACATATGCTACTGAAATTTTTTTTCTTTATAAAACTCTGTTTTTAAAAAATGTTTCAGAGTGGCAGTCTTTTTAGAAAACTTTTTTCCAGGAGCTAAAGACAACTAAATGATTGGAATGTAACTTATCTTTTAATCATAAGACAATAATGAATTTGTTAAAGAGAGAAGCATTTACGACAATCATACTGACAGAATCAATAAATTAATGTTATTTATTTTGGCATATGCTGTGATAAATGTTTGACTGTGTCGTTTTATAAAATAAAGTACTCATAGTATCAATTTTCTTTTAATTTTTAAAAAGAATACATTAATTATCCCCTTTCTTCCATTTAATTAAAATAACAGCAAAAGCAA